TACAATCATTAGTGGGTTACAACATTTACAACACACTCACATTAATTGGTGGGGCCCAAGCTAATGTGAGTGTGTTGTAAGTGTTGTAACCCACTAATAATTGTACAAATAGCTTTTTTGATTTTAAAATACGCTTCGGACAAAGAATGAGGCTCTTGTACTATGTTCAAGGGGTTGGGTTTTTCGCCCGTTAAAGCGGTACGTGAGTTGTTTGAATTATTGATTTACGTAATTTGAAGTAACCAATTAGGTTTACGACGAAACATGAAAACGGTCATTGATCGTTGAACACGAAAATCTTGAGATGTGTACGAAGAAATTGGGATCCACATGCTGACTATGGATGATAAAAGCTTTGAACCATGGACACCCCACCAATAGGAGGGCGCCACTTGGCCCCCCGTTTGAACAGGGCACACGTGGCCCTGTTCAAGCAGTATAATCCTAAAACTTTTGAGAATTTCTTAATTGGGGTTGCCGTGGACCTTTTAATTTCACCCAAGAATATTACATAGATTTTCTTGCCCTAAATGAAATTGTTGAAATAAATGAAAACATCTAAATTTCTAGGTTAGGACAAGATATTCTCTCAAATATAAGAATCCATCCTGCTCAATTTGAAATCTATCTGAATTGCTATTGTTTTTGCTAATTTGGTCAAAAGTTTCAATCTTTATGCTTTGCATTTTACGCCCGAGGCTGTTAGGGTTATAAATTTCATTTTGAGCTGTTTGGGAGTTTAAGGGAGCCTAACGATTCACTGGATTTTGCAGTAATTTTTTGATTTTTTTAAATTTTATTATTATTATTATTATTATTATTTTTTCTTTTTGGGCTGTTGGCGCTGTTACATTATAACATGTTCTAGGGTTTTGGGTCCTTTTTGGGGAAATATTAGTGACATTTCAGACTAAATGTATCCTTCTGATATGGATTTTGCCCGCGATAGTGGCACGATCTTAGTTCCAACGCGTTTTGTGTGGCCTTATGGTGGGAGAAATGTACTGATCAGTGGCTCGTTTACTGGGTAAGAATTTATCAGCATTGGTGAAAATGTATCTTTATGCTTATTTAATTGAATTTACCTCCCTTATTGGGGATTTTTGCAATGATTTTGATGTTCTTTATGTTAAACTGTTAATATGTGCTTGATTGATGTTTTTTTGGTAAAGGTGGACACAATGGCCAATGACTCCGGTTGACGGATGCCCTGCCTTGTTTCAGACAATCTGTAGCCTACCAATGGGTTATCATCAGGTTTTTCTGTAATGTGGCATTTTGTTACAAAGTTGTCTGGTGCCTCATTGATGATTTGCACTTAGATTGTTAGATATAATTAAAAGATATTGGAAATTTCATGTCTTTTAGGATGATTTTAGTGTGACGGAAATAAATGCTTCATGAAAAATGGTCTACACTGATTATATGCTCATGATTGTTAGATATGATCAAAAGATATTGGAAAATTAATGTCTTTTAGGATGATTCAGTATGACGAAAATAAATGCATCCTACATTATGTGTTGATTTGCACTAAGTTTGTTATTCGGGGGATGGTTTGTTATTCCATGTGCTGCGCCTTTGTCAGTTCTATCTGTTAAATTCGGCATCATATATTATCTGGGATATACCATTTATGACTTGCAAAATGATACTTATGACCTCCATTATTTATTGTTGTTGCATTATTTTTTTGCCCGTGTTGACTTGCATTATGACCTATTGATTATGACTGTGCTGAGAATGGATTTACCATTAAACATTAATTCTTTCTTATTTTATACGTGTTTTACTTTGTGGTGTATTGGAAATGAAGGTATTACTATTGAATTTTAGATAATGTCAAAACTTGATGCATGAATTGATTAGAGAATAAAGTTCAGAGGAAACAAGTATTTACAATTAAACATAAATGCTAAGAAATTGTCACTGATCATAAAATCTGTGCAAAAATTCTATATGGTAGGCAGGTGTTTTTGCTACGAGGTTGCTGGCAATCAAATAACTGATTAAAATTGCCCCTATTAAACTGATATCCTTTTCTTTTTATCAATATTAATTTGACAATAAACATCCTTAGGCCTTTTCATGATTAACAACAAGGTATGAAATGGGAAAATATGCGGAACCAAAAATGCATTCAGTTACTACCTAAAGTAGTGCCTGGGTGAACTATATTATTTAATTTCTGATAGAGGATTTTTTATTAGAATGGAATGATTATGAAAAACCTCAATCGATCAAGTATTTTTTTTTTCTTTTTGGAGTATTTGAATTGTTTGCTGATTTCTCATTAACTGTAGCTTTTGAAATTATTGTTACTTTACACGCAGTACAAATTTGTTATCGATGGTGAATGGCGACATGATGAGCATCAACCTTTTGTTAGTAGTAACATAGGAACAGTGAACACTATCCTCTTAGCAAGGGAAGCAAACTATCTTCCTGCAATGCTAAGTCCACAAATTCCTCCTGGTCCTGGCTCCAACATGGATGTTGATAATGAGGCATTCCACCGTGTGGTATTACATTTCTGCACATCAACTCTCTTTCACAAGTACAACTATTTCTTCTAATGTGTCTGGTATTTGCTATTTTAACCTTCTATCTAAATTATTGCTTTTACAGTAATAGATTTTCAAAATATTTTTCGCGTACGTGTTATTAGGACTTTAGGCTTTTGTTTACCAAAGTATCATTTATTTAAGCAATATGGGATTTGGGAAAATTCTGTTTCCCCATTAAGTGCATTGGAAAAATCTAAAGGTGAAATATGTTTGAAAATAGGAAACAAACTTGCAGTTTCTGCTTCCAAAATTTATATGTTTTTGTCTCAAACTGACTTCAAGCATGCTCATTATTAATTTTTTTCTTTTTTGGCCCTGCCACCATGTTGTTTAAATAATGAACATGCTTGTTCTCACGGATCAGTCACACGAAAGTGAGCTGATCTGGTTGTGGAACTAAAACCGAAGAAGCACAGAATAAAGAACACTACAGAAAGGAATTATTTCTGATATATATTTACTCATAACATTACATGTATTTATATATCAATGATGTACAACTGCAGTCCTATATTTTAGGGATAGCTATAAAATTGAGATAACCACAATTTAAAATTTACATTTAGATAATGAAACAAACTCGATCCTAGCAATAAGAAGATAAAATCTGTTCAACAGTCAGCCCTTAATTTCCGAGATCTTCAACACTCCCCCTTAAGCTGGGCTATACAGATTAAACAATCCTAGCTTGTCCATCATTTTCTCAAATACAGGTTTAAATAAACCCTTCGTTAATACATCAGCAACTTGATCGGATGAAGGCACATAAACCATACTGATTGTCCCATCTTCTATCTTTTCTTTAATGAAGTGTCTATCTACCTCCACGTGTTTAGTTCTATCATGATGAACAGGATTATGTGAGATTGCAATTGCAGCCTTGTTATCACAGTAGACTTTCATGGGTTCATTTCTCTTAATACCAAGTTCGTCCAATAACAACTTTAGCCATATTATTTCACAAATTCCATGCGCCAATGCTCTGAATTCAGCTTCGGCACTACTCCTAGCTACAACTGTTTGCTTTTTACTTCTCCAAGTAACTAGATTACCCCAAACAAAGGTACAATAACCGGTTGTAGACCGTCTATCCACCACTGATCCTGCCCAATCTGCATCAGTAAAAGTTTCAATAGATCTCTCAGCATTCTTTTTGAAAAAAAGACCAAGTCCTGGGGTCCCTTTTAAGTATCTTAAAATCTGATGAACTGCTTCCAAGTGCTCTTCGAAGGGTGCATGCATAAATTGGCTCACAACACTAACACCAAAAGCAATATCAGGTCTTGTATGAGATAAATAAATGAGTTTACCTACCAGACGCTGATATCTCCCTTTATCAACAGGAGTACCTCCTAGACAGTCACCCAACTTGAGATTAGGATTCATAGGAACATCAGCAGGTTTACTCCCTAACATACCTGTTTCTTCCAAGAGATCCAAAATATATTTCCTCTGTGAGACAGAAATACCATTCCTGTTTCTAGCAATCTCCATTCCAAGAAAGTATCGTAAAGGACCTAGGTCCTTTATCTCAAATTCAGTTGCAAGAGCTTTCTTCAATCTCTCTATCTCTTCATAATTATCACCTGTTAGAACAATATCGTCCACATAAACTATTAGAATGGTAATTTTTCCTCCTAAGTACCTGTAGAACATAGTATGATCTGATTGGGTTTGTTTATATCCTTGTTGGCAAACAGCTTTCATGAATCTCCCAAACCACGCTCGTGGAGATTGTTTTAGCCCATATAAGGATTTTTCAAGTTTACAGACTTTTCCTTGGTTTTTAGCTTCATCAAATTCTGGAGGTAATTCCATATATACTTCTTCTTCCAAGTCACCATTTAGGAAAGCATTTTTTACATCCAGTTGGTGAAGTTTCCAATCGAGGTTTGCCGCTAGAGACAAGAGAACCCTTATAGTATTCAATTTAGCAACTGGAGCAAAGGTTTCCTGGTAGTCTACTCCGTAAGTCTGAGAATATCCTCTTGCTACTAATCTGGCTTTGTAGCGTTCAACCGAACCATCTGATTTGTACTTCACTGTAAAAACCCATTTACACCCAACTACCGACTTCTCTTTCGATTTCTCTACAATCTGCCATGTCTTACTTTTATTTAAAGCTGCCATTTCTTCTTCAACTGCTTTTCTCCATTTCGGTATAGACAAAGCTTCCTGAATGGACTTTGGTATTTCAATTGATGAAAGGTTGACAGCAAGAGCTTGAACAGATTTGGACAAGTGGCTATATCCAATGAAATTTGATATAGGATGCTGTGTGCAAGACCTAACACCTTTCCTTAGAGCTATGGGAACATCCAAATCATTAGAATCAAACTTTATGTTAGAGGGATTACCTGAATTCTGGGCAGTTTCATGGCCTGAATTTGGGGCAGATTCATGGCTCTATTGTTGGTCCATGAGATGTTCCACTATTTCAGAATTTTTTCTTCTTGAATAAACACGTAACTCTGGAGCTGTTGCAAGTTGTTTATCTTTTTCTGTCATCAAATTTTGCTGAGGTTGTAAAGAGGAATCAGTATGTGGAAGTGTAGGATTTGTTGATAAGGATTTATGTGCAGGAGAAAGGGGACTCATTGATAAAGATTTGGATATGGAAACAGGCATCGAAAGAGTAGTGGGCTCTCTTAGTTCTTCAGCGGGTAATTCTATTGTTGTGTCCGAAAAATTCCCATCATTATCACATTTCTCCCCTTGAGGCGAATTTTGGGAAAAATAAGGTTGAGACTCAAAAAATGTAACATCTGTAGAGGTGTAATATTTGTGAGTTTCTGTGGAATAACACTTATAACCTTTTTGAGTAGGAGAGTAGCCTAAGAAGACACACTTTCGAGCTTTAGGATCCAACTTAGTGCGTTCATAATCATGAATGTGAGTAAAAGCAGTACAACCAAACACTTTTAAAGGAATAGAAAGAATAGATCGAGTTTGGGGGTATATTTTGGATAAGACTTCTAATGGAGTTTCATAATTATGAACACGAGTAGGCATTCTATTTATAAGATAGCAAGCAGTAAGAACGGCATCCCCCAAAAGTGTTTGGGAACACTACTAGTAAACATAAGGGCTCTAGCAGTTTCAAGAAGGTGACGATTTTTTCTTTCGGCGATCCCATTTTGTTGAGGAGTAATGATGCATGAACTTTGGTGTATGATGCCTTTTTCAGTAAGAAAATTTCCCAGAATATGATTGAAATACTCACGTCCATGATCGGTTCTAAAAATTTTTATTTTAGTATCAAATTGAGTTTGAACCATTGAATAAAAATTTTTGAACACTTGTGCCGTATCAAACTTGTCTTTTAACAGATAAACCCAACATACTCGTGTGTGATCATCTATAAATGTTATAAACCATCTTTTTCCAGTAATATTCTTAATCCTTGAAGGACCCCATACGTCGCTATGAACTAGAGTAAAAGGAGATGAAGGTTTATAATTATGTGAAGGAAATAAAGATCGAGAATGTTTAGCAATTTGGCAAATATCACACTGAAACTTGTCTTTATTACGAAACAAAGATGGAAATAAATACATAAGATATTGAAAACTAGGATGACCAAGGCGACGATGCCATAACATTATTTGCTGTTCTCTAGTAAAAGACTCACAACTTGCAGTTTGAGCTTGTTTATTCAAGTTGACTTCCTCCACGAAATAGTATAATCCCTCATGTTCTTTAGCATTGCCAATCCTCCTCCCCGAAATCAGGTCCTGAAATATGTAAATAGAATCAGTAAAATTGACACTGCAATTCAAGTCTCTAGTTAACTTGCTAATAGAAAGAAGATTGCAAGAGAGATTCGGAACATGTAAAACAGATTTTAATTCCAGAAATAAACTGAGTTTAATTGTTCCAATTCCAGCAACCGGTGAGATTGATCCATCTGCAATTTTCACTTTCAAATTTCCAGAGCATGGTGAGTAAGAGTGAAACAGTTTTTTACACCCCGTCATATGATCAGTAGCTCCGGAATCAATTATCCAATATTCAGCATTACACCTGCTAGTTAATGCAGTTATATGATTACCTCGCTGAGCTATTAAGCTAGAGGATGACGTAGGATTTGAAGCTGGAGTAATCAGTTTATATAACTGCTCCAGTTGGGCTTTTGTAAAAGGGAGTGAAACATTTTCAGGCTGTATAGTAGAAGAAGAAAACTCGGTGGTACTTTGGAAACCGGAAGCATCACGTGCCCTAGATTTTTCACGATAAGTCTGATTTGGCCGTCCATTATCACGGGTCAGTAGTTTTCTGTTTGGCCTTCCATGTAATTGCCAGCACCAATCTGTGTTATGGTTCGTGCGTTTGCAGTGATCGCACCACATATTGTTCTTCTTGGGTAGTCGAGTAGATTCCAGTCCACGAATGGCAAGAGCAGAATTTTCAGAGAGAGACGACTTGGGTTCCCTGAGCATCACATGTTTTCGACTGGCTTCCCGACGCACCTCAGCAAATATCTCATCAATTACTGGTAGAGGCTTAAGTCCCAGTACCTCTCACTTCGTCCAATTCTGAATTTAACCCAGCCAAAAAATCATAAATTCTTTCTTTGTCAACCTGTTTTCTATATCTTTCAGCATCATTGGGCGACTCCCAGTCAATCTGAACAAACATATCTATCTCTGTCCATACCCGCTTCAGTTTACTGTAATAGTGGGTGACTTCTTGATCTCCTTGGCGAATTTCACGAGCTTTATTCCTGAGTTCAAAGAGTTGGGCAGAGTTCTACATATCAAAGAAGGCCAAGGTAAGAGCATCCCATAATTCCTTGGCGGTAGAGTAATACCAATATGATTCTTTGATATCCTCTTCCATAGAATTAATAATCCACGCCATCACCATAGAATTCTGGGCATCCCATGTTGCATAAGCAGGATCAGTTTCATCTGGTTTGGTTGTTGTTCCTGTAACATATCCAAGACGCCCACGTCCACGAATAACCAAACTAGCAGATCGAGACCACTGGAGAAAATTTTTACTATTCAGCCAAGTGGTGGTAATTTGTAGAGAATAATTTTCTGAAAGAGTGGTCGTGGGGAGAAGAGTATTGGTTGTAGTGGGTACACTTGTGTAGACAGGTTCAGAGGTTTCCATAGAGCCCCCTGAATCTGTATCCTCACGTGCACCAGCCATGGCCATTCTGTATTTATGTGAATCTCAAACTTTCCTCAGCTCTGATACCATAAAACCGAAGAAGCACAGAATAAAGAACACTACAAAAAGGAATTATTTCTGATATATATTTACTCATAACATTACATGTATTTATATATCAATGATGTACAACTGCAGTCCTATATTTTAGGGATAGCTATAAAATTGAGATAACCACAATTTAAAATTTACATTTAGATAATGAAACAAACTCGATCCTAGCAATAAGAAGATAAAATCTGTTCAACAGTCAGCCCTTAATTTCCGAGATCTTCAACAGGAACTTACTCACTTAATGTCCACAATAGGTTCGAGTGTCAGATAGTATGTCATATGAGCCCTTTTCAAGGATTTCAGAAGCAGATTTGGAGATATCTCGGCATCGTATAGCTTCATTTATGTCAATGCACATGGCTTATGAGTTACTTCCTGAATCGGGCAAGGTCTGGATAATTATCCTTGCCTCCCCTTTCGTCATCTTTTGTCATTGATGGCCCTCTGGGCATGGGTTAATTCAAATTTTGTTTTCAATGATTTGGTTGCTCTTGGTTTGCAGGTCATTGCTTTGGATGTTGACCTTCCTGTAAAGCAAGCATTTCATATTCTGCACGAGCAGGTATTACCATTAATAATGTGAAGGCTGAAGTTATTCAGAAGTATTTTATGTGTGTTGAGGAATATTAGATATCTCCATCATTTAACTATAATGCGAAGAACATTTCTATTGTAGAACTGTCTAAATTAGCAATGCCATTTTCTATTTTTCTTTTTATCTTTGTTTTTATCCGAGAGTAGATAACCTGGCTGTCCATTAGTGCAAGCATTCTGAAATACCACTAGATTATAAAAGAACAAATTGATCATTTGGTTTATGAGACTAGTCCAATTTTGCATTTCGCTGCTGCTGGATTTGTTAACCACCGCTAGTTGACATTATGGAGCATGTTAGGTTGGCTAATAAGCTTGCTTATTTTACTTTTTCTCTCCTTATAAATAAGTTTATAAGCCCACCCAAACACTTATTTATAAGCCCACCCAAACACGTCGTCCACAAAGATGGAAACCTTTATGAGTATATGTTGTTGAGAAATACTTTTGCCTTCTTTTTTAAACCGATCTACTGGGCATTGAGTCCTTTTATTTGTTTTTTAATGCCTCTAAGAAGTATGAGTGCTGTATTGGACCTACCACCAAATAAAAGATGTTTTGTACTTGTGTCTTTCATTTCTCATTGCTTTCTGGTGTTTTTAGTTATCTACTTCCTTTCTAGTATATGCATCTGTTCTGATTCAAGAGTTTCCAGGGAATATCTATGGCACCTTTATGGGACTTCTTAAAGGGGAAGTTTGTTGGAGTTCTTACTGCACTGGATTTTGTATTGATTATGAGAGAGGTATGTTCTAAGCTCGCCTCGCTTTATTTTGTAGAAGATGGCTCAATTTTTTGGTTTTGCCTTCCTCCTTTTCTTTTGGTTTCTTTTCTTATCCTTAATGACATTACAAATGGGTGCATCAATCTATGCCTAGTGCACTTTTCTAATGTTTGTTTCCTTTTATTAGTATTTATGAATTAAATTGGCATGTCGCATGTATTCTTTGAAAGAGTACAATTCCCTTATGTGTTTTGCACATCTGTTGCATGACGTACGATGTCAGACCTAATAAACCAGTATTTGTTCCTCACTTATGTGTTTTGCACATTTGTTGCACGACATACAATGTTAGACCCAATAAACCAGTATCTGATCAGCTGTTTGAAGCAGGAAGGGCACTAGATATGTTAAGAACTGATAAATGTAGGACACTGGAATAAAAAAAATTGGCAACCTAAAACTCTGAATTCGTTCATCGTAATCCTTTTTGATAGAATGTCTGATGTTGTGCATGAACACTTTGTAATCGATGGTATTAATAAACATAATTAACAATATATTTATTATTTCAAAATATCTGTTGTTATTGGCACTTTATCTGCACTGAGGCTAAAAATAGGTATGCATATGGGAAACAGAAGTGCTTGTATCATCTAATTTATTAGTGTTTCAAATAAGCTTGTCTACCAGGTTTCTGTCCCCCCTTCATTGGTTCTTGTCATTCAGTAATTTATGACATAGTTATACCTTAATTCACCTAAATCATGTCATGGTTTTTTGATGTTTCTCTACATCTTCTAATGTGTCTTATATCCATGTTGCAAGCATAAATAAAGGTAGGCCATAGGATTAGTTTGTCATAGTTGTTGGATAATACTTACTACCAAATGATAAATTATTGCAGAAATGATGGATTTTCCTTTTCTACATGGCCTAACATCTTTTCAATAACCATCATTACTAGTTTCTGCATTGCAAAATCTTGAAATGTGCAGTTCCTGATACTCTGTATTGGCAGCTAGGTAATCATGGGTCAAATCTGACAGAGGAAGAGCTTGAGACACATACTATATCTGCTTGGAAAGAAGCAAAGTCATACCTGAATAGTCGAATAAATGGGCAAGGAAGTGCAGTTCCAAGACTGCTTTTGCATGTGAGTACTATTTGTTGAATGTTACCATGTCAATTTCACATGAGAGTTTGTATATAAATCAACCATTGGGATACTACTTTTGCCTACTAGTTACATCCCTGTGATGATGGAACATGTTGACACTTGAAACAAATATTTGATGTAACAAACATTCACCTTATGATTACTGAAGCTAGCTTCCATACTTGACAATTGACATAATTTTTGTGAGTATTTGGAAACATTCTATTGAATTATAACTTGTGAAAACCCCTGGTTCGAGTCACGGAAGTGAGAACCGGGTATAATGTCTGACCCAATGATTGGTGTAGTATGGTCTAAAGATTGGCTTTACTTGCCTTTTGCAACAAAAATGTTGAACTCATCTTACATCCTTTGCCTATTAGGATATGCACATGATAGATTGGTAAATAATGTAGTTGATGCAAATTTTGATGTAAAATGACTTATATTGTCATGGACAGGCTACACTGTTGATGCTCATAGATATAGTCCCTCTGCAGAAAACGAATGTATTATTTGATCCATTAATGTCGTTTAATCTACCATTCAAATAGCAATGTTTTGTATTAATTCTTTTTCTTTAAAAATTTTTGCACGTTATCATAAAATATTGCTCCAAGAAAAACACCTCGTGTGCTGAAGAAATCAGCCCAGGTCTTTATTTGAGATGGAGGGAATAATTTTTAATCTAGTTGACTGGTTTCCTATATCCCTTAATTTCCCTTTTTTTTTTTTCTGTGGGTGTCTTTGCTATTGGAGTGAGTATTATTTCTATTCTCTACAATAAGCATGAAGGTAATTTCTTTAATTGTGATGATGATTTTTCAGGCTGGGCCAAATAACAATTTGAAAGAAGTTGCTTTGAAGATTTTGCAAAGTGGTGTGTCTACAGTTCCTATTATCCATTCACCTTCAGAGGATGCATTGAACCCACAGCTATTGCATCTTGCTTCTCTTTCCGGAATACTGAAATGTGAGGAAAATGATGCACATACTCACGTGCACGCGTGTGTATTTTTGTATGGCTTAGTTTTGGAAACTTTACCGGATGTGCTCTTGACATTGTTGCACTTGACAGGTATTTGCCGATATTTTAAGCATTCATCAAGCTCATTACCAGTACTTCAACTGCCAATTTGCGCGATCCCTGTCGGCACTTGGGTTCCCAAAATTGGAGAGCAAAATCAGCAGCCATTGGCAATGTTGAGACCCACTGCATCACTTAGTGCAGCTTTGAATTTACTAATTCAAGGTATGCATACTTATTTAGAGTGGTCTCTTCTCTCTTCCATCCCTCAGCCACCATAATCCTATTACTTACCAAAGTATTACTCATTTTTCATAATTTCTTCGATATTATAATCAGCTTGCACTTCTTTTCACATGTGAAATCACTTTAAGAAAAATTTCTGACAAGTCTAAAAAAATGTATTTAAAATATACGTGTACACACACACACAAGTATGCTGAAACCTTGATTGTGCTGTAAAAGCTAGTACATTTATTAAAGAGAAGAATTAGAATTCCAAATTATTTTGCCCGAAGTTAACATTAGCAGCACATTTTTCAAATTTATTGAGTGCTTTTTCCTTTAACTTGGTTATTCTGAAACTTGACCATTTTTGCCTGGAAAGGTTATTGGTATAGAATATGAATGTGAAAAAAAAATTATTTCAGCAATAAAACTACTTCCAAGCACTTTGCACACCACGAGCACACGTTTCTCAAAATTGTTTTGTACTTGTTCCTTTAACTTGGTAGATCTGAAAATTAACCTTTCCAGCCTGGAAAGATAGAGGTGGAGAATATGAACATGAAAAAGGAAATTTCAACATTAAAACTAATTCCAAGAACTTTGCACACGGCATGCACGCACATTGTATGTATTGTGTAGGGAGATACAGTGCTCACTTCCAGCTGAATGCCTAAGCCGTAATGTCTCTTTCATTGCAGCTCAAGTTAGTTCAATCCCCATTGTCGATGAGAAAGATTCTTTGTTGGATGTATATTCTCGAAGGTTAGTAGTGCCTGTAGTTATGCTGTGCTTATAGCATTCAAATTATGTGTTTCAGGCAATTGGGAACCTATATCTAGTCACATTTTTCATAATATAAGGCTCCTTTTTTCTTTTCTTTTTCTTTTTTGACAGTGATATTACTTTTTTGGCAAAAGACAAAATTTATACACGCATTAATATTGAAGAAACAACTATTCATCAGGTAAGCACTTTTATTTTGTGTCAGCTCCATGTACGGCATTTTCATTTCGTATCATTTAAGGGACATAGTTGCATGTCGTCTTTGCTTGACAAGAAAAGACATTAACTGGGACCGGTAACTTGATTCATATAATTGGAAGATGTTACTAAAAGTCTACATGTCTTCTTTGAACTTGTTGCAATAATAATTACCTCTTTCCTCCAAGCTTGTTTCACGTTGTTGAGATTGTTAATGAAATTGTATCTTGGGCCATAAATGTGCCAAAGTTGTGACAGTGGGGGAGCTCATATGATGTAGGTATATGAGTTGATCTAGAGAAATTATAGGTTTATGGTATAAGTGAACTTCACAGATCCTTCATGGTTCTAATGTATCTTATGACCTTTATTTACCTATGGAATTCAGAGATATGATGCACATTATTCCTTGTTTTTCATATTAAGTATTTTCCTTTTGGTATTAACTTAAAATACCTACTCTTGGAATTTTAGGTGTTGCAATACCGAGATGACCCCATCACAATGTACGATTACGAGAATCAAAGATGTCACATGTGTCTGCGGTCTGATCCACTGCATAAAGTCATGGATAGATTATCCAAGCCAGGTAAACTATTCTTTTCTTTTTTCTTCTTAAGAAAAGAGCAAATTAAGCTTGAAACTAAAATTTACTGGTTGCCAAACAAGTCTGTGTATGTTACTTTTAAGTAAAAATAGTTGCCTATCTTGAAAGAGTAGTTTTTATCTCACTGTTGAAATAAGTGATTTATTTGTAACTTCGACTGAAATGCATGTTCCTTCTTCGAGTTCCTTAAGGTAAATAACTACTCACCTGGTTAATATTTCATTCTCAGGAGTCAGACGACTTGTAATTGTGGAGGCTGGTAGCAAACGCGTAGAAGGAATTATTTCACTGAGTGATATCTTCAGGTTTCTTTTGGGTATTTGAAACAATGGCAACTGCAGATCCCGTGAGGGCGCACCCATCTGCTAGGAAAATCTTGTTTTATGGTATCTGATCTCAGTTCTTTCGTATATACAATTGGTTGGCCTCATATTTCTTGGCCTGGTTTTTTATGTTAATAGGCTGAAGAATGAGGCATGTAAATTGTAACATTGTCGTTTTGCCTGAATCTGCTGGTCTCCCCTCGGAAGATGTCATTAACCAATTTTGAGGTCCATGTACCCGCTATTTTGGTGTTAAACGAATGGGAATCAGGGATGTTTATGCTAAATAGAATGGTAGGGAATAAGAAAATGAGATAATTATTGGATGATTTGAAGTGTTTTACTCATGACATTTTTGCATTTCTTATTTCAGTACTTCTTTTATGGTACATTTTTGTTTAGGTCATCAATTGTAATATTACTTGAGCGTTCAACAGTTGCATTGTTTTTGTTTTCTGTCTACACTTGAGTTCTTCTTCATTTCATCTATTTGATCTATGGCTGTATGCTCGAGTTGCAAGAATTTTTTTTTTTTGCTTTTTTTGACAATCAATCAAATTCATTTGACGACGGCGACAGTTTGGATTGACCAATAGGGGGTTAAGAAAAGGGGGATACAACTGGTTCTTTTTTTTTTTTTAACATGGAAACCCCAGAACAGTAGGAATGTAGGATTAATTCTCATGACAGTAAACAAGACGTCGAATTTATTTATTTATTTTTAATGAGGCAAAACATCGGCTCCTTTCCCATTTCTATGAGTACAGCAACATCACTCGCTGTAACATATTAGCAATTTCAAATAATTTGTAGGGAACAAAGTAAAATCAGATAGACGCTCGATCATGGCTCATTATGCCCCGACATGGTCCATGTGAAATTTAATCCGTACTATTTGCATACATATTGTCCGCTTGAGGTTGTACCACAAATTCAAAGTGGATGCCTATCCTGTACCCAATTTGTTCGTTGTTACACATATTTGATTGATGGTCGTATCCTTGTGGAGTTATATGATATCAAATTTCATTCATGGCGCTCATCCCAAACAATGGGAGCTATGTAAATAAATGGAAATACAACTGGTCCAACTGACCTCTTGCAAATTTATATTTAACATTATCTTGCAATTACAGAGAGATATGCACACCCATTTGAACATCATTTCTTTGTCAATAGACAGGGTTTGGAAATCTAGAAAGCCCCACCAGGTCTAGGTAGAGACTTAAAATTCCCTTCTAGGCTTAGATGGTGTTTCTACTAAAAAAAATATACACCCATATAGTAACTATTTGCAGACAATATTGTGTTCTTTTGGTTGTTGGATCTTTAGTTCTGTAGGAGGAGATTAACGACGGTGGTCGTTTCACGAATGGTAATCCCGTTCCATTGGTGATGATGGGTGGTGGCTGGTTGTAAATGTCTTTGATTTACGATGTAATGGATAGTGATTTTGGATCTTTGAGGTGAAGGTAGATATTAAATACATACAGAAAAGGAGAGGGTAAAGCCCAAAAATGGGAACTTCAATAATTATTTTTCGAGTCAATTATGTATATGTGGTAAATTGGAAATGATACCATGAATATATTTTTAAGATTTCCAAGTTGCTTACTATTTAGCTATTTTAGGATTTATCTATTCCATTCATTTAACTATGATTTGAATTATTGCAAAAATAGATCACCAACAAGAACAAAAAAGGAATTCAAATTTTAGGAGTTTGTTTGGGAAGGATTAAAATCCAATTAAAATTGAAAATATAGTCGTTATTGAGTCCCACTAGTCTAATAAAAATCAACTCCAACAGTTATATTTTCAATTTTAATCTGATTTTATTCCCTCCCAAACAAGCTCTAGATCTTAACTTTGTTGTGCTACACCTTCGAGATACCACCTTTTTATATTTATATATGAATTTCCTGACTTTAAATTTTATGAATGGAAAGTGGGAAGGGTTTATACTGAATTCATGGTAAGTGCAGGTGTTTCTTATAGTTGTCCTTGAGACAAAATTAACTTTCAATATATTTTGGACACTTACAGCAACCTCAACAGAGACGGTCTTGAAGGTGCAGGAGTTGAGCGACTGCGCATGACCTCATCATTGTAGGGGCACCAATTTTTTTTATTTGTGTATATCTATGTATAATTATATATTTAAAATATTTATTAATTTTAAAATTTAAAATTTTAATTATTATGTTAAATTAAAGTGCACAATGTTTATGAGAAATAAGTTAAAAGATAGACAAATGATGATTTTTATTTAACATTGTTATATTTCTAATTACATATCATACCAAGGCATTTTTATTAAAGTAAGGAAAATGATTCAGATGGTTTATACTTCTTTATAGCTAATTTCAATGTGTTCTTAACTATTTTCATTTATGGATTATTTCTTTATAAATTGTATGCATTTGACTTGGTATGATATGTAATTGCATAAGATACTAAAGCTAAAAATAATGTAATTGACTAGTTATAATTTTCTTAAATAGTATCCTGTTTTAAATAATGTCAAGGAAAAGAGAAAAGATGAGAAAATATAATTTGTAGGAAGAAACCTTTTGATGAAAATGTCACTATAGAGGACGCACAATCACTTGAAAATTCTTTCATAACCAATTATTTCTTTTATATAATAGATCAAACAATTGGATCACTTAATGTTCGATCAATTCAATTCAAATAGGAAATTTTTAGATTTCTATTTTTATTTTTGACATGTTAAACGTATTGAATGATGTTGATTTGAAAGCATGTTGTGATTATCTTGACATTGTTTTAAGACGTGTAAATTTTTGCGATCTTGATGACAGTTTTTCTTCACGAGTTAAAAAATTTGCGAAATCTTTTATTAAAAGAAACAAAGACAGATTTTGATATATTAACTTATTTGAAATACTAAAATAAACAAAAACAGCTTTTGATATATTGACTTATTTAAAAAGATTGGATCGCTTTTCGAATACATTTATTGCTTAAACAGTATTGCTAACAATTATTGTTATTGTTACATCTATTGAATTTTTTTTTAAAAAAAATTGAAGTTATTAAAGTCTTATTTACAATCAACCATGTTATAAGAATGATTGAATGACCTATCTTTGATATCTATTGAACGAGATTTGTTAGAAATGAAAGTTTAATTAATTAGGTTGCTTCTAGAAGTGCAAAAAGAAATATTTTTATGAGATTTGTTGTATTTCAAAGTTTACATGTAGTATCTAATGTTTCTAATTTCAAGGTTTTCTCGTATGTAATTGCATAAAAATTTTAGGGGCTTGGATGATTCATTGTTGATGACATGAATTTTGATAAAATTTGGAAGGTACTTTTAAACTTTATTTGTACTTTTCTTATTCATGACATTTTAAAAAATAAACAGTATTTAAATATCATAATTTTACCATGATATAATATTATTGAACTTTTTTTTTTTAATATCATGAAAGGGGTACTGTTTTAAAATGTCGTACAGGGCATCCAAATTCTCAGTGTTGGACCTAAACCTCAGATTTGCAATAGTTTGCAATTCTATGACAATGCAAGTGTTCTTTCATATGCATTCCATGGATGATATGATCCGAGACAGGCAATCACTTGGTCGGATCACACGAGTCAAGGGTTCAAGCAATTAAGTTCAGATGGGTGAAGTTGACAAGTCAAGGTTCAAGTTTCGTGAATGGTTCGGGAGTCGAAACGAGTTGGATTTAAAGTTTGGAAGATATTTGGAAAGAAAACGAGTAGCGTGGATTAAAATGGGCATAACTCTCAACTCGAGTGTCGAATTTACGCCCATGAGTACAATTCGGAATCGTCATGAAATTTTGCACAAGGCTATGTATGCCCATTGTACTTTTGGGATTGCAGTCGCACAGAAACATGCCGAGAACAAGTTTGCGGAAAATAGTATAAAAAATTGGCGAAATTTTTATTTTTTTTGGTAGTTTCCTAGTTTGACTTAAATACCATCTTTTTAGCATCTTTTGTTATCTATTTGAATTAAGCACGAGATTATCTAGCTAAATTAGGGTTTTCCATAGTTTCATATAAATAGAATCTATTATTATTTATTGTAAGGCATATTTTGATTATTTGAGAAAATTAAATTAAATTTGAGAGTTTTATTTCTCCATATTCTTGGTGGTTTAAAGTTCTAACTTGAACTTATCAAAAGGTTTCGCAATTCTTTTGTGGCGTTCCCACTTTACGGTTCTTGTTCCAAGTAATCAACGGGTCGGATTTCTTACACGTAATCTCGATTATTGGTACGGGTTGAGCAACGGGTCGGGTTGATCTTTGCGCGACGTGATTTTTAGCTTTTTTTTTTTTTTGATACCCAGGTTTTCCAACTTACACCAGACTATATCCTGGACCACTTAGAACCGGTGCCTCAACTCTGGGCGGAGGTAAATCGCGGGTTATGCCCAATCAAGCTAGTGTTCATGCAAGCTTTATACTCCTGGGTCCAAGGGAGCCCTCCTGTACCGGATTTACATCACCAAGCTGCTCTAACATATGGTTTGGGTATTACAACACTTGGCTGCTATGTCCGTGATTCGAACTCCCCATACTGGGGTTGCAAGCCCAGCCTTGCACTGTCTTTGCCATCTTGGATGTGTTGGTTCCATCTTGTTCGTGGGTTCCCATGATCAATTCTTGGTTGAGTTCACATCAATGGATTTATGATTTTAAACTATTTGAATGATGTCAACCCTGAATCGAATAGAACTTTATCATCATCGTGTAGTTCCTTTATAATTTATTTAAGAAACTGTTGATTTCTAGGTATAAATGTTATTTTCAATAAGCACTTTTATTATATACGTCCATTTCTGACCATTTTGACTATCCATATGAAAACTAGTATAACATCATACCTTATGGTCGAGTATTTCTTTTTAATTCAGTAGAAATCAATATAATATTAATGTCATTACTCATTCTGTGAACGTAGTGATGGCAATGCTCGACTCGGCCCATCTACCCATGAGTTTGACGAGCCGAGCTCGGCTCAGCCCACGAGCTTTTATTTTACTTTTTTCTTCACAATTTTTATGAGCTCACGAATGTGAACTTTAGGCTCGTGGGCCTACGAGCGGTTTGCCAGCTCGACTCAGCCACAAATTTACATTTTTTTTG